CAACAAAAATTAGGAGTGAGCATTTTAATCGGATCGAATCTCCCGAATCGAAACCGAAGGTTCCAGTTCGGTTCAATAAAATAAAATAGGAATCGAAATCGAAAACCGAGAACCGATTAGGTCTGGGTCGGTTTTTGGTTCTTGAATTGGAACCATGGGTAACCGAATGGAACCGATTTTGTTGTAAATTTTTTATTTTTAATAATTAATAGATTGCATAAAAAAATTACAAAATTTGATATCTATAGACTACAACTTAAAAAGTAAATGGGCTCTTCAATTCAACCTAAAGAAAGTATTAAATCCAAATATTTTGGCCCATTTTAGTTACAAAATCCAAATATATATAAATCTTGCCCAAAAGGATTTGCCCACTGCCAAACCTATAAATAATTTTAATATCCTGTCGGCTGCCTCGTTTTCCCAATTCCTTTTGGCGTTCTCTTTTGTCTAACAATGTCTTCGTCACCGGCACCAACACCACAGGTAACCAACTTGCAATGAAATTAAAAATCTGAATATGAAAATAAACATGTAATGAAAAGTATCAATTTATCAAGAAATTTGAACAATTTTTTTTTTTTTTTTTTTGTGCAACCATGATCTTATGGTTCACCTTTTTTCTTTTATTATCTGTAATATGATGAATGGATCAAAATGTTGGAGCTTAATGGATTAATAAATAATCCCAAATATTGATTAAACCTGAAAGCAATTAATAAATAATCCTAGTACTTAATGGATTATTAATCGGTGATTTAATAATTACCTTTTTTTCTAGTATTGATGTATTATTTGTTTTTTAATAATCATATGGTTGAAATTCAAAGGATGCTGGGCTCAACTTGGTTTTCTAGATTCATTTGTCGTCGAAAATCAATTTCATCAATCAAAATTCTCAAGCTATTGATTGATTTATGGATTCGTTCAAGTCTAAGTTTATCTTCAAGTCTCTATCATGCAACAACTAGTACTATTACTTGTGGTGTGCCTTTAATATTTTTTTCCTCTTTAAATTAAATTTGTTACGGGTTATGGCAAAATAGTTTATTTTTTGTAGATGTATGATGAGACACCTGGAACTAAAAAGAGAACAAAGACAAGTTCAGCAATTTGGTTGAGATTTACTAGGGTAGGTAATGGAGAAACATCAAAATGTAATTTTTGTGGAAAAGTCCTTCAAAGTAATTCAAAAGGTGATACTTCTAGTATGTGGAAGCATTTAGATAATTGTCATGCATATAATGCTACTCAGTTTGGTGACCAACAAAAGACCTTAACTCGACAGAGAAATGATGGTGGTAATGGTGATGGTAGCATGTTTAATCTTATAGCATCGGTGTATAATAAAGAAGAATGTAGAAGATATCTAGTTAGGATGATTATAATTGATGAATTGCCCTTTTCCTTTGTGGAGGGTATGGGTTTTAAAGAGTTTGTACAAAAACTCAATCCTAAGTTTGATATTCCTTCTCGAAGAACAATTGATAGGGATGTGCTCTATCTTTATAGTGAGACAAAGGAATCATTGAAGAATAAACTTATTCAGAATAGGCAAAGGGTTGCTCTTACCACTGATTGTTGGACATCAATTCAAAATATCAATTACACGGTATTCACAGCATACTTTATTGATAGAACTTGGAAATTACGTAAGAGGATTTTGAGCTTTTCCGTTGTTCCAAATCATAAACGGGAGACAATAGGAAAACTTGTTGAAAATAGTTTGCTTGATTGGAGAATAGAGCACGTGTCGACTATTACCATTGACAATGCAAATGCAAATGAAATAGCAATCATTTATGTGAAGAACAAGTTGAAGAATTGGAAAGCCGATTGCATGATTTTGGGTGGAGCTTATTTGCATGTTACGTGTTCGGTGCATATTATAAATTTGATTGTTACTGAAGGGTTGAAGGAGTTTAACCACTCCATAGCAAGTATTCGAAATGCTATAAAATACTTTCGATCATCTCCTTCTAGGCATATGAAGTTTAAAGCTTGTGTTGAAAGAGAGAAGATTAGTTGCAAAAATCTTGTTGTTCTAGATGTACCTACTAGATGGAATTCAACATTTTTAATGTTTGATAGTGCATTGAATTTCAGAGAGCGTTTGAATAAACGGAGAAAGAGGATGGATTTTATTATAAATATTTTGATGAGCGTGAAAATGGACACGAAAGAGAATGACCACCTATTAGTGATGATTGGGATAAGGCAAGAAAATTTGCCAAATTTTTAAGAATTTTTTATGAAGTCATTTTGAAGTTTAGTTCATCACTACATGTTACTTCTAATCTTTACTTCAAAAAAGTTTGCAACATTGATCATGCACTAACAACATTGAGTAATAAAAATGATCATTTGCTAAGAAGTATAGCATGCAATATGAAGGTCAAGTTTGACAAGTATTGGGCACAATTGAGAAAATGAACAAGCTTTTACTTTTAGCAATTGTACTTGATCCTACGTACAAATTTGAGTATGTTGCATATTGTGCAAGTATCTTATATGATGACAACAAGGTAGGTGTGTTAAAGAGTGAAGTTATGAAAAGGTTGTATGCTTTATACAATGAATAGAAGGGACGACACGATATTGACGGTGGGATTGGTGGTAGTAATTCTAATAATGGACTAACTTCTGTCGATGGTTCGAATGATGATGAAGATGGAGATGGAGATGATATGAGTCCATTTAATAAAGTTGACATAGGGTACAAAAAATTGAAAACTAGCAATGTGAATTTAATTGGAAAAGATGATATTCAAAAATATTTAGGAGAAAGTACTGAAAGCCCCGCAAATAAAAATTTTGACATTTTATATTGGTGGAAGATTAATAGTGAAAGATTTAGTACTTTATCTGAGATAGCGAGGGATGTGCTTGCCATTCCCGTCTATACGGTTGCTTCTGAGTCAGCATTTAGCACGAGTGGACGGATTCTTGATTCATTTAAGAGTTCTTTTAACTCCTAAAACAGTTGAGGCATTAATTTGCACACAAAATTGGTTACATGAAGAATCTAGACTCTTAAAAGTATCCAAAGATGGAATTTGCATTGAAGAGACGGAGTTTTACGAGAAAAATTGAGACGGGTAAGTAAACATTGTTTTTCCATATTCTTATATTGCATTTTGTTAATCTAATAAATTTTAATTTTGTTAAACTTGTAATGATTATTATATTTTAATTATGTCTTGTAGATTTTGTTAATGCCACAACTCATGCAATGGATGTCTAAATGGTTGGTGCGACACAACTCACATGGATTAATGTAGGCGACTAAAAATCTATTGAGAATATTCATCATCTAGAGTTTGTGGTTAATATTTTATGGCTCTTTTGATGACATTTTTCTGTTGTTCAAATTCTCATGTTAGTTTTAAAATTTTTTGAACTTCTAATTATTATCATAATAAGATGGTCTTATTGATGCTCTTTTTAAGTTTTAAGGCTTTGTTTAATGCTGGTTTTATACTCCTGCTAAAGTTCTTTTAAATTCTAACTAGTTTTTCATGCTCTTTTAAGGCTAGTCTTATTAATTTTTTTGTGTAACTTTTAATATGTTAAGGCTTTGTTTACGTCTTGGATGATTAATTCATTAATGTCAGTTACTAAATCTATGACATAATGGATAGTTTGTGATAATTCGTCTAATTACATGGTTGGATTTACTAAATATGTATTCAAAAAAATGTTATGGGTAGAACCGAACCCAAATCAGAACCGATGGTTCGGGTTTGGGTTTGGGTCCAATAATTACATGGAACTGAATGGATCCATTTATAAAATACCCAAAATATAATGGGCGGTTCCGATTATTGAATACCCGGACTGACCCACCCGACGCCCACCCCTAATGAAAATGTATTTTTGGACTGTGTATAACACGAGCAAGTATCCACGCATCATGCGTATTCCTAGTGGATCTAGCCAGCACGAACGTGAAGTATAAATTAAAATCTTGCGACCAACAGATTCTGGGTTGGTACTCATTTCTATCCTATGAAGTTCACACACTCATGATGCAGTAGCACAACTTTCACAAGCATTCCCTCAATAGCACCAATGCAACCCCAAAATAGCGGATGCTTATTCAATTCCGACCTTTGAGGCTCCACACTGTCGTTATAATTCGAACTCGATTGAAGTAGATGAGTGGAAAATGCCACGACCGTGCGTAGCACCTCTTTAATTTAATGACAAACGATTTGTAGTGAATGATTAAATATCTTTGTCACCTGGCAATATCCCTTTTCGTGCGCTAATATGCAACAGAACATGCTAACTTACTCATAGATGTCAACCTTTCGTCACGTAAAATATGTGCGAAATGTCACAGCATTGCTGGATACATACGAAACTCTTGTTAGCACATCTGTCCATTCCTACTCATTATCTCCATCATAAGCATGTGATCGTTTCAAGATAAAGAAAATCGTTCGATATGATGTCACTGTCTGTGATAGTAATTTCTTGTGTCGATGTTCGCGATTCTGCAATACATAACCCATGCCATTACATCATCAACCAAGTGGTTGAACAACTACTCTTCCCCACAATCTTCTTCCGTTTCGGAGCCCGATATTAGGACAAAATTGAAGTTTAGATCATCCATTGTTCAATAAAGGTTGAATAAATTTAATTAAAGAAGCAAGTAACATAATGAAGCTATAAAGAAGACAATTTCCTTAAATAACCTTGCAGCTTCACATATTTCTCTTCCTCTTTCGGTACATACAAATATACACTTTTCTGTGCACTGATTGACACTTCCTTTCAAGTTGCACCAACTATGTAACAACAGTGGTGCATCCATCTAGAAATCCTCGTGATGTGTTGACTACTGAGAAAAGATTGTAGAGAAAAGAAATATGTACGATACTTCCAAAAAATGAAATCAACCTGCCACCACCGGGAATAATTTTTTCACTACGAAGATTCCACAATCAGGGTGTACACTATGTCATAAATTGTCCTACATTGATACAATAAATTGTGTCTGAAGGAAACAAGTACATTACAGAAAAACATTTACAATATAAGCACATTACAAATATTTAAGCACATAACGTTCAATGGTAATGGAATGGTGCAAAGAAAAGGAAAATAGTTCTTGAAAACAAACACAAATACAACAAATTCGAAATATCATAGGTGGAATTGTTTGTCCTGGTCATTGAACTACCACTCAATCCATTCAAATTTTTCTTCAGCATTTCTCATGACACCAAGCATATCCCGATAATATTTTTGTGCCAGAAGTGTACAGGCGTAAAAGTACAAAGGTTTTCGACGCTCGAGCCATACAATTGGTAATAACACTTTAATGTAGGCAACACCAACGTTGTTAGTCGAAGCCATCATGGTATTGATCTTTGCCACCACTTCTTCAACGGCCCTTGTGGCCCGATTAATTGAGAACTACAGCTCGCGCAAAAGTTTTCTTCTTCCTTCCTTGTTGCTTGCTCATGGACGATTTCATTTTTTTGTCGTTTATGGTGTCGGAGACATTCACGCTTAATCTATCGTTTGTATTGTCTCCCTCATCACTTGAACCGTTGCTCTCCCCATTGGTGGTCTTCGAGTGCACTATCCTCAAACAACCCGAACCCCATTCTACACAACTTCGTGAAAGTGACGGTATACTTGCTCTCGTCGTAACTGTTACTGATTAGTTGACGATAGCAAGTGTAAATCTCGCTTACATCTTTATCCTTAAAATATTTGTACTCCTTGTTCTCCTGAGAACAAGGGTTAAACAATTATACCAATACTTCTATTTGAAAACCAAAATGTGAGTACTATTCAAATAAGGTAGTCAAACAAATTCAGTTAGCATAGTACGATGCAATAAGCACCGGCACATGTGCAAAAGTGAACAGAAAGGTAAAAGACAGCCTCAGTAACCATTACCAAACACCACACCTCCCAAGTAAGACAGATTTGTCCATCTTAAAATTTACATCTTAAATGAAAGTGCAAATTCGTAGTATGATGAACACAAAATATGCAGTAAGTAAGCATGACAACGTTTACACGTCAAGTCGTCACACATTAATGAATAGTACATTTGTATCGAAAACGAGTGATACACAACAATTATCCACAGCCAGAAGTGACAACATACATTTACAGTTTGGGAGCAAGAAATAGGACACACAAATGCAGTCATCCAAGCAAAACTATGTGTACAGAATGGTAGAATCGAAATGCATACATACAAGACTGTAGCGTGCCGAATGGCGTGCTAATGTACAATTATCCATGCAGAGGCATTTCGACAAGAAAATAGGTTACCATGATCTTTCGAGTACACCATTCCTCCGATGCTACAATTCAACAAGTGGATAGGTTTTATTTGACCCCGCTGCAAGCCAACAGTTCGTAGAGATGTTTGTAGGTTTGACGCATTGCGTCCCTGTAGTTGCGCAGTTGTTGCTTGCTCTAGTTGTGGCTAGAGAAAGAGTTGAATAGCTCACTCACACGCTTCCAGCTGTGTTTCATGAAACACCGACCATTTCGATGACCCTCGGCAATGGCAGTTTCACAAGCTGCAATGAATGTTTTGCACTCCATTTGGTTTCACCGCGCATATGTTTTCGAGCTTGAGGCACATGTGAGTTCAGGTGGAGTGGACGAGTTACCGTGCGAAATGTAGCCCATCTATGCACATCAAGATTGGACATCAACAAATAGCATTTACCAGAAGAAAGTATAGGCTGTTGAAATACCTGTTTGTTGATCGGTTCCATTCGTTCTGATAACGATGCGAAGGGAAGGCAGCAGCGACACCGATGCAGGAGGAGGATATTTTGCAGCTATAGTGCTCAACAACCTTATGTCGAATTGGGCTGAACAATTTCACTGGATACTTTAAATCGTCGTCACCCGTTCTATAGTTCCGTCTTCCCCATTGGTAGAAGATTTTTTCTTCGTTTGAGGAGGGGAAGGGCAAAATGAGAAAAAGGAAAAATAGATGTGTACTATGGTACAGTAGAAGACTAATGGGATGTAAGAAGGTGGGTTGGGTAACGGTAAAAAAATTACTAACACGGCAGGAAAAATAGGATACAAATGGGGCCTTAAAATAAAACAAGCACCAATTTTCTTTTTTGCAATTATAATCCGTACATAAAAAAACTAGCAATAATCCAGTTGCTGCCTTCAAAAAAACTACATCTGCTCTTGCTGCAACAACACAAGCAGAAAAAATCCACACTACAACCAGTTTAAAAACACCCTCTGCCCCCTAGCATTTACTCTTGCTGATCTTGTTCTGGAAGACTCATTTCCCTATGAAATACTGCAAAAATCAAGCTTCGTGGTCCAATTGTGTGGTAAAATTGTTTTGCGGTTTTGGGTTTAAAGAGAATCTGGGGGTCCAATTTTGGTGGCTTGCATTCAACAAATTGAGGTTTTCAGGGTGAAAATAGGTGAGGCATGTTTGGGAAATCTGAACTGGCAATTCATTTTTGTGTTGGAATGATTTAACTGCCAAAAGTGAAATCCATCAAGGCCTATGCTTCGCTTGGATTTCAGTTAGGAATCATACTTGGTGTATAATGATTTTGACAACATTGTTGACAAGTGGCATGTTGTCATTGGATAATTTTAAAAATAATTCATCTTTCCCACTAACACTTTTGTTTATAATTACAACATCAATAATGTTCTACAGAATGATTGTACAAATAAATTTATCCTTTAGAATGTGCTCCAAATGATGTTGGTGTTGCATTTTTGGCAAGCTAAGACCAATGGAAGAATGAAAATGTTCAAACGAAAAAATTGTCTTCATATTTAAAGAGATGAAATTTTAAACTACATGTCAAGTGGCAGTGTCTTTTAATATAATTTTAAAAGGTTCTAGCTTTTCAGTTAGAAGACTTTAGAGGCTTGTTTGGGAGCGATTTTTTTACCCAAAATATTGATTTTTTTACCGTTATTTCACTATTCAGTCATCATATTTAATTTTTCTCTCACAGATGGACCCCACTTTTCTCTTAACGGTCAAAAATTTAATTCTTAAAATCACTCCCAAATAGGCTCTAGATTAAAGTTGTGTTATATATATATATATATATATATATATTAGTTGTGTAGCCTTCAATCTTATACACTTTTATGAAATAGTTCTTATTTTGCATTTGAAAAGTTGCAACCTTTAAGAGGGGCTTTGACCTTAGATGAATCATCAAATTTAAAGGTTAAGTGGGGTATTTCATACGATCAAAATCAAATTCTCCTCCCTCTATATATTTTCAACAAATACTTGCATTTAGAGTAAAAACTCTATTTTATGTTATTATGTAAAATTTTGGTAGCAAAGTAGTATTATATAACATCAATAGTGCTAAAACACCACCTTGTACGACGGTGTATGGTAGCTCTAATCAAAAGGGTCTCAAAGGTCCAATTAAAAGGGTTTCATAACACCACAATTAATTAAACTTATCATTTAATGATACCCCCATATACCACATAGCACTATTCTGGGTAATAAATATGCAAGTTCAATTTACTGGTTAAAGTGTAGTTTGGGTGTTATTTTCATATGAACGAAATCTATTTGATCTTAAAAGATAATTGCTTGTAACTTTAAACGCTAAAGAAAACAAAATTGTTCTATGGAGAGACTGAATTCAATTGACTTAAATTATTTTATAATTTCTTTCAGATAAACTGTAAATTGTTGTAAAATGGAAAGTTCATTAGGGTTTATTGGTGAATGACAATTACACCCCTACAACCCTAGAAATAATTACCGTTGTATCCCTGATTCTGCCCTATAAATACAGGGTTTTGGTTCTTAATAAAACACACACACACACGTCTATTGACTTCTCCCTATTTTCTTCTATTTTCTCTCTTTTCACAACAAGTTATCAGCACGATAGCTTAATTTTTCAAAGTTTAGTAAATGTAGTAATTTTTTTTATAAGTATAAATATTTATCATATGTACCAAAATTAATTTGGTGTCATGTGAATTCTTTCGATAAACATGTACATTATAACAAGATTGTTCATTCTCCTTTACTTTTCGTTGGTATACATATTAATTTTAATTCACTTTTGCATGTGTAATATGTACACATATTAGTTCATGTCTTTTGATTCATACTCAATCATTTTTTCCATGTATTATTCAGTATTAATACTGTCTTTTGAATCTGTCACATATTTGTTCTACATTTAATTTCTATATATGTGAAATTCACGTGCATGTTTAGTATCTTTTGCATATTGGTTAAAAAAAAAATTAGTTAATAAAAGATGTAACCAGTTTTGTTAACTTCTATGTATGGAGATTCTTTTTCCTAATGCATGTTTGGTAATTAATTTTTCTATATAAATTCATATCATGTTTATATGTTAAGATATAATATTTGGAATTTATATATATATATATAAAGGTTTGTTCGATTTTTATGTACTTCATATAAATTAAAAATAATGAAGCTTTACAAATACGGATTAATTGTTGAGAATATTATTTGTAGATCTGTCTGCTACAAATATTTTATTGTTGCTCCTGAAATAGCACAACATTAATATATTGGTCATAAAGAATATTTTGTTATTCCTAAAGAATCCAAAATTCATGGTTATTAAATTTCATATGATGGTAATATTCTAGTAGAATATTACTCTATCTCTCAAAGAGTGGATTTTATAAAATTCAGTTTATTTCCCGATTTGAGAAATTTTGTAGATCGATATCATAGATGAGTATCTTGTTGTTGCTCCTGAAGTAGCACAACATTACATGAACAATTTTTTTTTAATATCCCAAAAGAATATTAATCACAAATGTGTTTATTACAAATATTTTGTTGTTGCTCCTAAAGTAGCATAACATTATTATTAATATTCCAGAAGAATATTATGTTTATTGCTCTTGAAGAACAGATCTTCATACAGATAAATATCTTATAATGATAACATACTCCTATAGAGTTAATATTTTTAAACAAGAGTTTGTTGGTGCTCTTGAAGTATCACAACATTATTAATATTCTAAAAGAATATTAATTGCTCCAGAAGAGCATGGTATTACAATTTCAATATTCCAGAAGAATAATGACTCAATGCTTCTGAAGAAGTATAACTTAAATTATATTTATTTTAAATGAATATAGTGTTGATATTTTCGAAAAAACACAACCCACGTTAAAAAAATATTCCAAAAGAATATTAATTGTTTCAGAAGAACATGATGTTACTAATAGACGTATTCATCTAAATTATGTGCCCGACCATTCCCAAGATATGTGACCACCACGTGTGCAATTCTCCTTCGTGGTTAATGATTGATATCCAAGGTTGCAACCACCCAAATTTATCATCAATTCCTTCCTGTACCATTTTTGGAGCTTCTGAGGCAATGATGTCTGCGTAAGTTTACGATTCATCTTCATATTCTATAGAAGGTAATATTAATTTTACGCGTATATGTATGCATAATTATGTCACGGTATCTAGTTAAATTTTGGTGACAAATTTTAAGTTTATATTAAACAAAATGGGCACTTAATTATTGCGGTTTGTGATTGTATAAGTACCATATATTAAATTAGGTTCATCGCTAAATGTCCATTACTATTGTTTATCATTTGATTAATTATCTCGTTCTGACCCTTATAATACATTATTTTAATACTCGTATATTTGTCTACTAAAAAATATTTTTGCTCTTGAATCAGCACATTATTTTTAATGTTCTAGTTATATTTTACTTGCTCCCCAAGAGCATAATTAGAAAATTATGTTTTTACTCCTGAAGAGTAAATTCTTGTATAACTTTTAATATTTCAGAAGAATATTGATATATTACTTTTAAAGAAATAATAATAAAACATGACGTGCCCTTGAGGTAGCACACATTTTGAAGAATTATATCTTGTTGTGTTCTAGAAGAAACACAAATAATTCAATACTGACTATAATTTTTAAAAGGAAAACAATTTCCTTATTTTATTAATATTCGAGAAGAATATTGATTTATCATTCTAGAAGAGCATACTATTTGGTGTTTCAATATTCTCAAAGAATGATATGCTATTGGAGAGCACGTCATTATAATTTTAATATTTTTAAGAAAAATATGATATATCGTTCCAAAAGAAGTAAAAATAATATATACTAATATTCTTGAAGAATACAGTATTGTGTTCCTAAAGAAACACAAATTTATGCATATTAATATTTTAGAAAAATGTCATGATTAATTTAAATGTGTCAATATTCCTGAAGAATATTATTCTATCACTTGTAAATAATCATAACTAGATATATATCAATATTTCAAAAAAATATTTATGTATTTCTCTTGAAGAAGCAATAATTCATGTTAATGTGCTCTCGAAGTAGCACATTTTTTAAGAATATATCATTTTGAATTCGTGTTTATCCCTGGAGGAAACAAATACGACTTATGTCACGTGGACATTGATCATTATATGATTATATAATATTTAATCATATTCTTCGAAATTAAATAATTGTATTATATTTTATATTGAACCAGAAGTTCAATTCGATTGGCATGACCAGTTGGACCATCACTGGATCAACAATGATGCAGAATCAAAGTGAAGAACTAGATGATTCTTCAATCCTATAAATTTCTATTAATCATTTGTTCTCATTATCGACAATTGATCATTAAAAGCCAATAGCTAAAATTGGAATAGAATTTCCTGTGTATCTGAAAATTAATTAGGGTGATATATAGGGCCCCGTCACCCGTCACGTTGATCATCTAAATATTATTTGTATATAATAAATTTGATACAAAGATTAGATGATTACATGGTATTCGCAACATAAAGTTTGTGAAATTAT